GATTTGGTATATTTCAAAATGGCTACTTAACTCCCCCACCCCCCAGCACCATGTGATTTTTCTCTGATATTCAATAGGAGAATCTGGCTGAGCTCCTGGAGGTATAATATGGAGTTCCCTTATAAACTTTACACCCCAGGGCATTAACTCAGACTTGTCCTCATTGAACCTCCAGCAACTGTCAATTATAGCTCAAGTTATCCTACCCAGTGTTTGGCATGGCTCTCGTAGTGGGTTTCTGCTCTGGGAAGTTATGGTCCTCTGTATTGGCTTGTTTCTTCAATTTGGTGGGCAGCAGTTTACCCGGTGACTTCATTTCTCTTTTGTTTTTATTTTTAAGAGATAAAATATGAACATACATATATAAAAAATTTGGGTGTACAGAATACAGCAAGTTGTTTTTCTGACCACCTCATTCTACTAGTGTGTAAAACTGTTACCAACTTCTTGTGAATGCTTCTAGAGACATCCTAGCACAGAGAAACATTTGACTTATTATATATTTGTGTGATGTTGCATTTTTTGTACAGATGGTAGTGTAGTACACACAGTATCCTGTCCTTCACCTTTTAAACCCAATGCATCATTTTGTTCTTTGTAATGTCTGCTTACTATATCCCTGATAGATAATGATGGTATCAACTTGCTATCTTTTTCATTTATGTGTATTGTAGTTACGTGGCTTTTGTTGTACAATTTTAATTTCTTTTTATTATAGTAAACTATATCACACAATAAAGCTTATAGTTTTAACAATTTTTAAGTATGTAATTCATTGACTTTATTTATTTTTATTTTTGGTGGTACTGGGGTTTGAACTCAGGGCTTCACACTTTGAGGAAGGTTCTCTACCACGTGAGCCATTCTGCTAGCCCAATTCAATGACTTTAATTTACAACATTCTGCAACCATTACCACCATTCATCTCTAGAACGTTCTGATTTTACAAAACTGAAACTTTGAATCCATGAAATACTAAATCCCCTTTCCCCCAGACTCTAGCAACCAAAAAACAAAAACTACAATCTAGTAGAGAAAAGATCAATATCTTTGTCTATATCTAAAAACTAAAATCTCAAGTGGCCAGAATAAATTCACAGAGACAGACTGTACTTTTTTTTTTTTTTTGCTTTGTTGAAGTCAAAGATGATTGTGTGCTGCAATGTCCTCATTTGAGGAGAGTTGGGACTTCCCCACTCACTGTCACCCTTTAACCTTGCTTTTCCAAGAGTGTAAAAGCTAGAGAGGGGCTGTGGGTATAGCTTAGTGGTAGAATGCTTGTCTAGCATGTGTGAAGCCCTGGGTTCCATCCCCAGCACTGAAAAACAAAACAAAACAAAACCCTAAAGGTGGATGTTCTATGACTAGAATGTTTGCAAAACTCTTGTTGAAATTTAGTTGCCATTGCAATAGGATTAAAAAGTAAGCCTTTAAGAGGTGATCAGGCCCCGAGAGCTCTGCCCTCATGAATGGGCTTGATACCACTATAGAAGACCCCCTCTTGTTCCCTTTTGTCCTTCAGGCAGGTGATGCCTTTCACCATGTGATGACTCAGCAAGAAGGCTCTGTCCAGCACCTTGATACAGGGCTTTCCAGACTCCAGCTGTCATGCTGGGGTGATCTGAGGTCACACAGAGGTGTCCCAAGATGGGAATCAAGTCCTACCCATGTTTCTGTATGAACACCCTATCTACATCTGTCTGTCTATCTATCTATCTATCTATATCTGAGCACCTGAGGGAGTTTTGTAGGATAAATTTCCAAGTATAGAAATGATGAGTCAAGGGAGATTAGCTGTATTAGTTTTAATGATAAGGCCAAATTGAACCTCCTGACAATGCAAACTCCTCACCCTCAACCAATGTGTAACTTGTCCCTTCCTACCACCCATGGCAAACACTGCATAAGATCATTTTAATTTTGTCACTTAGACATATAATAAATGCTTCCTTACTTTAATTATTAATTATGAAGGAAGTTAATTGTTTTGTAAATGAAGTCTTTGGTTTGAACTTAGCACCTTACTAGGCTTACTTGAGCAACATCCTCAGTCCTTTTTGCTTTAGTTATTTTTCAGGTAGGGTCTCATACTTTTTGTCTGAACCAGCCTGGGCTTTGATCCTCCTTACTTCTGTCTTTCAAGTAGCTGGGACTACAGGTGTGAACCATCACACCCAAGATTGTTTTAAATTTACAGAAATGTTGTAGAGATTAGTATAGAGTTCCCAGATGTCCCTCATCAGCTTCCTCCAACTGGGGATTAAACCCAAGTCCTCATACATGTAGGCCAGTGCTCTGAGCTACATCCCCAGCTCTGCATGACTTTTCAGTGTGGTTGGAAGATATTTTCATTTCTGAACCTGTAGACTAGGTGGCTTAAACAAGAGACATTTACTGCACATAGTTGGTGGTTGTAATTGAGATCAGGGTGCAAGTACGGTCAGGCTCTGATAAGGGCTGCCTTCTACTGTGTCCTTACATGGTGGAGAAAATAAACTGGTATCTCTTCTTCTTAAAGGCATTAGTTTCATGACTTTCAAAGGATCCACCTCTAAATACTATCACATTAGGAGTTAGGGCTTCAATGCACCAATTTCTGGGTAACAAAAAACATTTGCATTCCTAACACTCCTGGTGTAAGAATCCCCACTAACGATAGCCATTTGATTTTTACTTTAGCATTTTCACTCACTACGCAAAAAGATGATCCAGTTCATTCTAGTACACCCTACTATATTCATATGGAAGCTGTGAGTGAAAAGAACCAAACTTACACCGTCTTAAACAAAGGACAGAATTCACTGATTCAGAAACTTAGATGTGGTGTACTGTCCTTACTATTTCCTGGCTATTCTCCTGTGTTCTTGCCATCTGTGGTGTCCATGTCACTGCTGGCAGTATGGGCTGACATGGCTCTTCCTTTGCCCACCTGAACATGCTTCTCCCATCCCTCATTTCAATGCAAGCCACAAGTTGTTTCATTGGATGAACCTGGATCAACTCACTATACCTCCTAGCCAACCACAGGGTTGGCATAATTCCCAGGGTAATATCTGATTGCCCAGGTTGAGGCCACAAGACCAGCCTTAAGAGTAGAAATGGCCTCCATTTAAGTCAGACTACATAGGCTGAATAGAGGAACGGTGCTTCCCCTAATAAAAACTGGTATTATTACAGGAAATGGTATAGGTCTGGCGGTGGTGGCTCACACCTATAATCCTAGCTACTCAGGAGACAGAGATCAGGATTAAGGTTTGAAGCCAGCCCAGACAAATGATTTATGAGACCCTATCTCAAAAAAACCCATCACAAAAAAGGACTGGTGGAGTGGCTCAAGGTGTAGGCCAAGTTCAAGTCCCAGCACGCAAAAAAAAAAAAAAAAAAAAAGTGGGTATAGAGCCAGGGTATGAAAAACAATTCCAGTTGATACCTTTGCTCACCAGCCTTTCCTTCCCTTCTTTCAACCCCTTCAGATGGGACTCTTCTCTATATCCCCCACTCTTACTCCCCTGTATTTCTTTCAAAGCACCTGAGTCTCTTCCCTGTATTCAGTGGTGTATTCAAGAAGGGTTTGTGTGATCTGCCCCAGCTGCACTGACTGTGGAGAATTTGAAAACAATCATGAAACCAAAACATAATCTTTTAATAATCACCAAACACTGGCAGTTTAAATAGTGTCAGTGATTAACACTCCCTTTGGAAAAAAAAAATCAAAATAGTAAATGTTCTCAGCATAGATGGTTTCTTCAAGGAAATAATACTTAGTACTGATTCTGGCCACACACAACTCTTTCACAGGAAGCTGAGGAAATCTGAGTTATGTTTATGGTACTCTGGTCTTGGAGGGGTGTGGGAAGGCCTGGATTTTGTGAACCCTAAAGTCTTCTCACCTTCCTGTGCCTACCCTCTCTTGGGAGACTATTCCAGGGATGGCTGTTTCTACTCCTATTTCTCAACCGTACCAAGGGAGAACCCTGAGCAATCTCCTGCCTGGCTCCAGAAGGATGGGGGAAAAAAGATGATAGCTGTCTGCTCATTTTCCTGATTCACTGGCCTCATTTCACTGCTACTCCAAAGCCTAGCCAGGTCCCTAGCGGTGCTCCACGTGAGCCATTCTCAAGGTTGGACCCTGGATTCCTTTATGAACCACATAGCTGCATTAGACTAGATTTTTTTTCACATACATCAACTAAAGCAATATTCAGTATTTCATCAGACCTAAGCGCAGGAGCAAAAGTGAGGACACAGCTATCTTCTATTAGGCCTGGTTTCAACACCGCTCGTCTTTTCTCTTGGAGAGGGATTATAGTTATTAAAATATGTAATGTGTTCAGAACACATTAACTTAAAAAACAGCAATATGGAAAGTCATAACCCGCATGGTCCTCAATCATTTTTAAGAGCATAAAGTGGTCCTGCGATTGAGAATTCGGGAACGCGGACACCATGCATTCGTTTGCCTGCACCGCCTCACCTGTGTCACTGGTCAAAAGCGCCACGGTGGGGTTCCCTCGCCTCGCCACGTTTCCCAGCGTGGAGAGTGTGGACAATGTTTTTAATTCATGGGACCGCCAGGCGGCTCTGCCCGGGGTAGCCCCGCGAGAGGGCGATGAGTCACATCCCATCCTACAGAAGCGAAAGCCGCGGCTCAGAGACGCCAAGCGCCTTGCTAGGGTCTCCGGTTGTGCGGACCCGGGCCCAAGGACGTCGGCCGCCGTGACAGAACATCACCGGTCCGAGTAGGGCGCCTAGCAGCCGCCGGCCCCTAGCGCCAGCCTTACATCCGGCGCCAAGTCCGGAAACCTCCCTTCCGGTTCCCAAGACCGCGCTCCGGAAGTGAGTCACTCTGCCAGCACCTAAGATGACCTCCAGCCAATCTACCGCTGCGGTCAATGGCGCTGAAGTGGGTGGGAACACGGAAGTTGCCCGGTTCGGCCATGGCAGCAGCCGGGGGGCGTGGCTTCCGGCGGTCCGCGCCTGTAAAGTCGCCGCGGCGGAGTAGAGCGCAGGCGGAGGCTGACAGGCGCTCCTCCCTGGACACCGGCAAGGCGGGCGGCCTCCAGCTCGCGTGTCTGCGACCCGGACCGTGAGGCTCCAGGTCCGTGCCGGGGCATGGAAGAGGGGAAGATGGATGAGAATGAATGGAGGTACCACGGCGAAGGCAACAAGAGCCTGGTGGTAGCCCACGCGCAGGTGAGCTGTTGATGGGCGGCATGGTTCAGGGCCTCATCCGACAACCCAGGTCTTTAGGAACTCCCAGTTTCTCCCTATCTGGGTCGGCGTCCCCTAGTAACCCCCGATCCCAGTTATTTCCCTTGTATCCCCCAGTATGACCCTCATCCTCCTGGCATCCCAGCCCGGTCTCCCGTCCCTCTCCCAGTGCGTCTTCTCCCCTTTGGTCCCCGGTCCCTGCTAGTTCTCCTTCTCTTCCTTGATTCCCCCTTCCCCCAGTACTCCCCTACACCCGGGGTCGGTTCTGAGCCCTCCCTCCCACGACCTGTTGGTGCCACGCGACCTCACGCGGTACAAGTGCTAGTTTGACTGCCAGGCCGCGGTGGACCAGAGGCGGGGTTGTGACCTGGACAGCACTGGGGCAAGTGTCCGGGATGCTGTCCCTCCCAGCGTGGAGCCAGTTCAGCCTTGTTAGACCACGCAAATCCACGCAAATGCTGTTCTCCCTGCTGTTGCTGTTCATAATAAGTGGGGGCACTGCCCACGCGTTCGCCTCCAGAATGTTTTAGATTCAAATCTTTTGGATTAGGCCAGTACGGTTTACCCTTCATAGTTCAATCAGAATGAGAGTTTCACAAACTGCAGTGACTCCCAAGGAGGTGAATGCAGGAAGAGAAGCATATGGAGTTGCTTGCGGCTCCAGATTGCTCTGATATCTTGCTGTCTGATATAACCTCTCAGGAATGCGGTGGGCTGGGGGAGTAGGAGAGAAGTGTCATGTAGGGAGCAGTTAGAGCTTTGGAGTTAGAGGCACAGGGAGCTGGGACGATTCCCAGTTCTACCACTGCCTGCTGGGGGCTCAGTGCCTGCATTTGGAAAGTGGAGCTAGGAATAGAGTGCACTTTGTGGAATTGCCAGAAAGATCAGTTGAGTATGAGCTGGACAAGCTATGCCTGGCAAGTGATAACTGTCATCCCCTTGCACAGGTGAAGCAAGCAGAACTCAAAAGAGGTGAAGGAACTTGCTCAGGGATTTGTGCAGGTACAGGACTGACCAGGTATGCACTGGTCAGCTACAATGTAAGTTGCAAAAATCAAGTGGCCTCTAGGTGCCTTTGTGCTTTATTATCCATTAGCACAGGAAGAAAATTAGGCAGGTGCTCTGCCACTTGAGCCATGCCCCCAGTCCCGAGCACAGGTGGAAAATTAAAGGACTGAGATCACAGGTTCTACTCATGAGCTTTAGGTAAATAATACTGAATAAGGATAACCTGAGGCTGTCTTTTTCTACTGGGGACTGATGAAAGTAGTGATATATGTCCTACATATATCTAGCAAGTTCTAGATTAGAACAAAAGGACACCCAGGATTGGAAAAAGCTTTGGTGCAGTCATGTCTGTCACTTGAACACCTTCTCCACCATCCCCAAAAGACACATGTCCATCCTCTTTCCTAAGCCAGCATCTCTAGGGCTGCCCAGCTCTTCCCTTGTTGTACAGCTCTGAGATCATTATGATTGTTTCATTTTTCTTTTACCTTTTAAAACTTTCCTTTAGCCATTAGACTGTCCTGGGCCCATGCTATCATCATCATTGTTGTGGTTGTTATTTTGTGGTGCTGGGGCTCAAACATGCCTCCAGCATGCTAGGCAAGTGATCTAGCACTGAGATATACCCTCAGCCCTCATTTTTAAATTGTAAATCCAAATTTGCTTTTCTGTGCTCATTCTTGCTTGATAGTTGTTTTAGCACATCATTTGAAATTGAAGATTATCGCCACAAATAGTCTCATAAGAAAAACATTTCCCACTAAGTTAAGGTTGGATGGTGCTTGCTGCTGATGTAGGTAAACTGAACTGTGCCGAGTGTCAGATAGCCCAAAGAAGACTTTGTGTTTGGCCTGGGCTTTGAGCTGGTATGCCAGCTATGAGCTGCTGGCATGTCTGGTGAGGCTGTGGACTGAGGAGGAGAGAGCAAGCCCTGGAAGGTACAAGGTGAGAGTGTGTATTCGAGTGGGGTAGAGAGAGGGTAGATTAGGGAGAACTGGAGGTTCCCTGTTCTTGTGGGTGCTAGGAATCAGGTCTAGAAGCAGGTGTACCTTTCTCTGCTCATCTCAGACCTGCCTCACCCAGTTCAAGAGAGAGGGAGGTCTTTGCCAAGTCTTTCCAGATAGGGAGAGGGTCATTTTCTCTGAGAGGGCACCAGCCACTCAGAGTTGAAAGGCCCTTATGAAGGCTCCTCTCTGCCCTCTCTTCTCTTCAGTGTGGTAACATGATGCTTGTGCACACAGCCATCTTGAGGCCCATCCCGCAGGAACTGAGAGTCCAGGTGGGGGCACCTGTCTGCACTGTCAGTGGCCAACAGCACTAAAAGGAACATGGTGATGCTCCTGCCATGTGCAAACATGGAATGAGAAAGAAGAGATTGTTTTGTATTGTGCAGGACTTGGGGCCTGAGGACTCAGGAGCTCAGTGTGGGATGCAGGAGGGAGTGGGGTGTGCTCAGGGTGGGCGAGGTGGTGAACAGCCAATCAGCCTACAGAGGAGGTTCAGTAGTGTTCCTGCTGGTGGTGGTGACTTCCCCACAACCCTTACCCTTAGAGGCAACTCCAGATGGTTCCAGTGTTACCTATGTCTCTTGGTTTGGGGCAGCTGTGCAGTGTGTCCCTTTCCCAGGTGCAGAACCTTAAATGTCCTCTGCGCAGCTGGTACGGAGCCTCTGATATGCTTGTTGGGCTATCAGCAGCCTGGGCCCTGTCTCCCATGGGTGTCTGGAGCATGGATCCTGAGGGTCAGGGACATGTTACATCTGGTTACATGCTTTTCTTGGTGCAGCCTGAGGGCATAGCACTTGTGCTAGCAGTCACATCATAGGTCAGTGAAGCCTGTTCAGCCACTGCAGCTGGACTTCTCTCCCAAGGTGTCTGCACTTGTTTTCTTTACCTTCTGCTTGTTGGTTTTGGCTCATGGTCTTGTCCTGTGAAGGTTACCTAAGCCTGGTTTGTCATTTAATCTTGTAGGTGCAGGGTATATGATTTCCACACCCATTATAACACTAAGATGTCATATTTTCTTTGTTTTAAAAGTTATCTTTAGTGTGTATCTTAATTGTACAGTGAAAGGTTTCATTGTGATTTTTTTTCATACGTGCTTATGTTTTCCCTCTTAATGCCGAAGATAACATGAAAGAATTTGCCATTTAACTAACCTGCCAACAAAGAACATTTATTAAAAGCATGAAGAGAATTGTTCATTTCTAGTTGTTCCTATTTTGTAACCTTTCGGAGATTCTGAGGAGAGAGCTCAGATCACTACTGCAAATTGTGTGGGTGCCTTGAGTGTTTGGGCACTGCAGTTGTGAAGGTCAAGCAGTCAAGGACCATCTCACTGTTTATTTTCCCATTTTGTGTAGTAGGATTTATTTTGTGATATAGCATTGTTTTATGTATCAAAATTGAAACATTTTGATGGTTGTTTTATAGTGCATAGAGTTAGGTACATTATGCTATATCTCATTTAATACAGGGAGGTGGTTACAATGTTAAATGGAAAAAAAAGCAGGTTACAAGATGGACTGTGATTCTAATTACACATGTGATTGGAAGAAAATACACCAAAAATACTGCAAACAATTATCACAGTGTAATAGGGATATGATTTATTTTTACTTTTTTTCTTTTTGTTTTTTTGGGAGATGGGGTCTTGCTATGTTGCCCAGGCTGGCCTCAAACTCCTGGGCTCAAAATGTTTTCTTGCCTTAGTCTTCTGAGTAGCTGGGACTATAGATGTGTGATACCGTACCTATTCCTTTTTTGTTTTTCAAAATATTTTCTAAATTTGCAATGAATATGTATTATAGGGAAAAGGTACTGTGGGTATAATTCAGTGGTAGTGAGCCCTGGGTTCAATCCCCAGCACCAATCAGGAAAATCCCTAAGTTTTAGAAGTTCATATTCTTTTATCTAGGTTTTCTTTTAAGGTTTTTTTTCTTTTTTCTTTTTTTTTTTTTTTGTGGGACTGGGGTTTGAACTCAGGGCTTCATGCTTGCAAAGCAGACACTACCACTTGAGCCACACCTCCTTATCTAGGGTTTTTTTTTTTTTTTTTTTGATACAGTCTCACTACGTAGCTCAGGGTGGCCTGGAATAGACTGTCTTCGATCCTCCCTCCTCAGCCTCCCAAGTGTGGTGTTCAGACATGTTCTACCATTGCACCATGCCTATCTTGTTTTAGTATTTCATTTTTTTTTAGCAGTACTGGTGGTTGAACTCAAGTCTTTGTGCTTGTTGGGTGGTTACTTCTGCTTGAGCCACACCTCTAGCCCTGTTTTATTCTTTTTGAAAATGAGGTAATTAGGAATTAAAATAAAGATCTTGTCCACAAAGATGTCCATTACAGAATTATTTATAATTGCTTAGGTGGATAGTAACTGTTCAGTGCTATAGGAATGTTTAGATTATACTTCGTCCTCAAGATGCTAGAAGCACATGATTGATGTTCTATTTTTTCCCCACCATATGGAATGTTCTTAAACTCTGGGTCCCTGTTCTTTAATTTTCACATGAATCTCATTCAAATAGTCTTAACATTTTTGCCAGTTTTTTTTAAGAAATGAGTTATTTTCCATTTGAGATTGGTGCTGGTGTTACGCTGTTAGGACTTCATTCTTGGTGGAGTTTGTTCTGGTCACATCCTATCACATTGCAGAGCTCTGCATGTGGCCCCCTCTTTGTTCCTTATGTCTGCAGTTGCATGGTTAGGATTTATTTCCATATTCCTTTTGGAGGTTTTCAGCCCTGTGATTGTGCCTCGCTAGTGTACTAGGTGTGTTTGTCTTTCTTTCTGCATATCTGCAGAGATGACACAGCCATTTTCTCCATGCCTGAAACGTTGTTCCTCCTTGGTAAGAATTTGGTCAGAGCTCAGCTCCTCGGTGACTTTGTCTTCTGAGAGCTGTGACTCAAAGGTGAGGAAAGCCTTCCTGTGTCTAAGAGAGCAAGGCTGTGCTCAGCTGGGCCTGCCACATGGTCATCATATAGTCCGGGTGGGGGTTGAGGGCCCCAGACTTGCTTCTCTGACTCCAGCTGTGGGCTTTCATGAACACTTTTCACACGCTGAGTGTTTTACCCTGAGGGGTCCCTGTGCTGCCCTGCCCTGTCTCCACAGTCCCCCCTGTGCTGTCAGGGTCCCGTCAATGTGGTGTCTTCTTTTACTTTGTGATCTCTCTCCACAGCTCACACCTACGTTCCCTTCAGTCCTGGGAGTATGACCAAGTGTCCTTGAAGTCCCCAAAGCTTAGGAAGAAGGGGTCTTGTTCAGGTTGGACAGGTGTCGATGTCTGCTGCCTGGCCTTCCTGCATAGCCTGTATAGCACTGGGTACTCCTCTCTGGGTACTTCCTGATGTCATAGCTCTGTCCTCCATTGGTGTGGTTTGTGATTCTCTTTGAAGCTGTGAATTTTTACCAAGGCTGCGCTGTGCTGTTGGGAGCATCTCCTGATGGAGGTCACAGAGGCCAGGGGCTTGGCACCTCTTGTCCCTGGTGATTGGAAGACTGTAGGTGTCCCCAGTTGTCTGATTGGACTTATCAGGATGCATGAGAGGTTATTCTCATGAGACACATTTGGGATCCTCTACTGCTGTTGTCTGGAAGTAATCCTCATAGTTGGGGGCAATTGGACAGAGCACTGTTTCGGGAAGCTGGGTCTGTATCCTGAGGGGTGACACCATGCTGTTGTGCTTTTCTGCCTTCCCTTCCCTTGAAAGCGAGCAGCCTGATCTCAGCTTCCTTGGGTCTTTCACAGGATATCTCCTCACTGTGATGGAAGAACCAGCTTGTCAAAGGACAGTGACCTCTGGGACAACTGACTTAGCGGGTGACCCCTCCATCCTCTGAGAGTGCCCTGTAGGTGGCAGGACAGCCTCTTCCAGCTCATCTTTACTGAAAGACATTAATTGCATCCAGATCTTAACTGTCCTGCAAAGGTGATGTGTTAAAGGGTTGGTTCCTATCTGATTGTGTAATCAGGAGGCAGTACTCTTTATAGGAGATAGGGCCTTAGTGGAAGGAAGTGTGCTCTTCCTTTTGCTCTCTGCTTCCTAGCTGCCATGCACTTCTGACTTGGTGCTGCCTCACCATAGTCCCCCAAACAATAGGACCAGCAACCAAGGACTGAAACCTATGAAACTGTGAGCCAAAAGAAACATTTTCTCCTTGAAAGTTGATTTTTTTTTTCAGGCATTTTTGTCATGCAGCGAAAGGTTAACACTCCATCAGACAGGTGTCCCTTTTAATGTATTAGGGTTTTTTTTTGTTTTTTTTTTTTTTTTGGTAGCTTCCTCCATCTACCCAGAAAGTATAGACTATTAGAAGGAAGAAAGTAAAAATCACCACCCACATTTCTCCACTTAAAAAGAAACTTCTGTGGACACTTTGGTGCAATTCCTCCCCATCTTTTCCCAATTGTGTGTGTTTGTTGGGTAGTTGTAAGTCTTCTTTGTCTATTGCTGATTTGGACTTCTCCAACCAAGGTGCCTCTTCGATGTGTCTTTTTGCTACTGAGAGCAGGTATGAGGCTGGCTTTTCACCTGTTGTATGCCTGCAGCCTGCATGAGTATTGCTAGGCCCTGTGACTGGTCATTTCTCTCATGGCCTCTGCCTGGCACTTCCCAGTAACCACACCCTTCCTGCTGGCTCAGCCTGGTCAGCCTTTGTAAAAGGCGGTTGGCGCTGCTGTATGGAACAGGTGAATTGAGTGTGTCTGAGTGCTGATATTGATTATGATTGGCCTTTAAAGCTGATACTGCAGTTTCCCTGGAGATGGTGGTTGAGTTTGTGGTGACAATTTTTGGATGATGAATAGGAAGCTGGAGGAAGCATAGTTTCCCTTGAAGTGGACATATCACTGCATTCAAACTTGCTGGTCATGGTTCCAGTTCCCTAAAGGGAAGGGAAAGGGGACTGCCTGTAGGTAATAACAGGGAGGCCGAGAACCACTGTGCGTGGATATGGTGACTGAGGACATGCTGCAGAGGGGTGGTCCAGGAAGGGGGAGCCAAGGTGCCACTTTGGGCTTTGCGGCCTAGGCCTGGCAAAGCCAATGTCCACACCCTCTGCTGAGGACCAGCTCTACAGCCAGCACCCCTAGCCTCCTAATTGGCAACTCAGCAGCCACAAGGAGCCTGGCAACTAGAAGGATGTGGAGATGCTTCTCCCAGGATTTGGTCCCACTTTCTGGCTCCGTTCCACCCCACATGACCTTGACTTTTGGGGCCAAGGCCTTTGTCTCTAGGCTTCCCTTCCAGACCTCACTTTCTACATTCTGTACTGGAACTGTGGAGGGAGAGACAGTAGGAAGTGCACTCTGTTGCTCCATCTGTGTTGGTTGTTGGAGTAATAATAATTATTAGCTATTTATATTGGTGTGGAGGAGTGAGGAACACCCCTACCCCTGAAGCCACTTCAGCTCTTATGTTCTTTTAATTCTGGGATCTATATATGGCTTTTCTTTGTAGATTGTCCTGTACAATTTTTTTTTCTTCTTGGTAGGCCTGAGAATTGCTTTTTGAATTAACTTATTCTTTTTTTTAAATTGTTTATATATTTATTCATATGTGTATACACTGTTTGGGTCATCTCTCCCCGCTGTCCCCCACACCACCTGAATTAACGTATTTTTGATGTTAATGGTTGCCTCTGTGTGTGTGTGTGTGTGTGTGTGTGTGTGTGTGTGTTAATAATGTAAAGGAATTCTGAAATTTCCATTTGTAAGTAAATAGAAAAGATCAGTCTTTGCTAGGAGCATAGTGGCAGGGAGCTTCGGAAATCAGAGTCCATATTGATAGGCAAATGTTGCTAGATGGTGGGGGTGGGGGTCACTGTGTTCCTGGAGCTGGCATTGCTGAGTATGGGCCTCTGAACAACGCTTTTGTCTGAGGCAACAGAGGGAATTCCTGTGATGGAAAGGCTCACCTGACTTGTACTACGTTGGCCTTCTCTGGTCTGTTTGGCTATCAAAGTCTGTTGTGCAGCCATTTAGTCCCCTGTGAAACTGAGAGATCTTGCTTTCATATAGATGCTGCAGAACTCCTGGGTGAGTGAGCCTGGCTTCTGTGGGTGGCAGGGATGGCTCTGTATGAGGGATGGAGTGAGAGAGCTTACACTGCAGGCAGAACAGGGCAATGTGGGTCAGTCTGTGCTGTCAGGGCATTAGTGTTTTCTTCTTGTGTGATTTTTTTAAGCATGACCAGGCTTGAAAATGGGAAATATTAATTTCTGTCACTGATGTGCATTGTTGATTGCACTGAATGCCGCTGCTGGGGGAGCGTTCTGTATGGGGTTTGGGGTCTTAATTGGAGGGATGGATCAGGCATGCTTTTGCACAGAACAGTGCCACTGTGTCCAGGTGAGGAGTGAATTACTTTTAGAAGAGTAAATTTGTGGAATTTATCTAGACTTAGGATTTCTGCAGATCCACTTCTGATTTTTCTTGAATTTTGATGAAATTACAGGGGTGGGGATGTTGCTCAGTGGTAGAGCACTTGGCTAGTATGCTCAAAGCCCTGGTTCGATTCCCTAGCACTACAGGAAAACAACGGCCTGGGTTCCCTGTAGCTGCCCTGGCCTCTTCTTCAGAACTGCTGACCCTGATGCCTGGGTGTTGGCTAGGACTAATCAGACTTTGCTTTGTTTTCCAACAGCGCTGTGTAGTGCTACGTTTTCTGAAGTTTCCTCCAAATAGGAAGAAGGTAAGATTGGTGGTTTGGCCACCCAGTCATTACAGCCATCACTTAAGAAGACTTGGGTTTTTCTTCCCAGTGCAGATGTTTTAATGCCAGTTGCAGAAATTTAAAATATGACACAAATATTCATTGTGGAAAGTGGTGGGCCCTCATTTCTGATGTGAGAGCTGCCAGGCCCTGTGATTCACTGTGTGTCACCATGGTGGGTCTGCATGGTACTAAGCAGGAGTTAACCTGACCTGATCTGTGGGTCCTGCCCAGAGGGTTCTGCTTAAGGTGAGGACCTCAGGACCAGAGCTCAGCTTTGCCTTGCTGAGTTCTTAGCCTGTACTGCCTCAGTTTTCCCATCTGTGTTATCATTTGTCTATGAATGAGACACCAGGTAGACAATCTGTTATGTTGAAAGTCACAGTGGGCAAAGTCATATGGATCATTAGGTTTCTGTTGGCAGAGTAACCCAAGCACAATGTTGTGGTCCCCCCACCTCCCACTCCCTGCAGAGAACTGCCGGCACCATGTTCTCCACCTGAGTTGCAGCTGCTGTCCCCTCCCTGTGCAAATCTCAATGGGTGACAGAGAAACAACCTGAAGTATTCTGTTTGTGTTGGGTGTGCCTCAGGGGTGACTCCAGCCTGCTGTATCCTATCAATAACTCCCCTGTGTAGTTGTTCCATTGCCCACCCACACTTAACTGGGGTGGACACAGGCCTTCCTGTGTACACTGACTGAGGCAGTGTCTTCCAGGTAGCATGTGCTCCTAGTAGTCGTCTGAAGTAGCACAGTGCAGTGCAGCAGCTTTATCATGGGGCCACTGGATGTGTTCTGGGTTTTTCTGTCATGCTGAGTTGTGATGAGATCCTGTTGCAGAAGCCATAGGACATTTGTGCATGCTTTGGTGTGCAGGACACCACTAGGTTCAGATGGTGGGTTCATCAAGGGCCTGGGGGGCTCATGGTGGTCAGTCAGTTCAAGGACCTTCCCAAGTGCAGGTGTGCCTGTAGACCTGCCCTGGAAAAAGATCCGTGAGCTCAGACGGACCTACAGGTACAGCAAAACACTGCCAAGCCAGCCTTTGTCATGCTCCAAGAGTGAATTACCTTGGACCCTTTGGGCTTCTGACCTTTGAGATGGTTTGAGGGTCATGGGGCTGATTTCTTGTCTCATCTGTTTTTTGACCTCTTTACAACCTCTGATTGTGAAGAAAGTACTTCATTCTGCATTTAAAATCTAAACATCTAATACTCTTTGGATCTGAGAGGTTTCCAAAATCAGCTGCTCAGTGGGTGCATGGGATAAGTGGTGCTCTTGGAGGTTGGGAGGAGGGATACAAGGGAGCTGACGGGAATGCACTCTGCGGAGGCTCTGGGGCTTTCCCCCAGGCTGAAGGTTGCTTCCTGGTTGTAGCTCAAATGGTGTCTGTGCTTGTTTCTTGCAGACCTCGGAAGAGATACTTCAACACCTGCAAAACATAGTGGACTTTGGCAAAAATGTCATGAAAGAGTTTTTGGGGGAGAACTATGTTCACTGTGGGGTAAGTGATTTTTATTCATGTCTCAATTCATGGGCAGGTCTGAATGACAACACCGGTGTCTCATTTGTCACTGGAAATTTGTGCTTAATGGTAACCCTTGGATAGTCAGTCTCCAATGCTTTTCTTACCTGTGACAGCCATGAATCCCATTTTCTGAGGTCCATGAGGTTTGGAGAGAACCCACACACTTGTCCAGCCAGAAGCTCCTGCTTGGTGTGGCACTCCAGTTAGCATCCAGCCATCCTTGAACCTGAAGGGACAGCTTTGCTTTCTGCTTTCAGGGCACTTTCATGTAGATTAGGGAACAAAGTGGGCCCTGCCCCAGAGGTTGCTGGCCTCATATTGAGGCACACAGTGTTAGTGCTGGGCAAATTGCTGGACCACACCCAATGAGGGCCTTTGTTGCCCAATTTAAAAGCCAGGGTTTAGAAGAAAGGCTGTGAAAACCCTTGGCATTGCTATCTGTGTTGGGCTCTGCTTCCAGCTTGCCTGTAGTCTGTGAGGACAGGACAAGGGGCACCTTCTGGCCCACTTGCCTGACCTGGCCTCTGAGCAGAGCCATAGCCATGGCTCAGGACTTTGAAAGTCCTCTCAGGCCTGCCTTTCCTCAGCTGCTGTCTACTCTTTCTAATGTTGGGGGTCGTTTAGAGGTAATGGTGTCCCATTAGGATTATTCCTGCAGTTCTTCCTCAGGGTCTGTCCCTTGGATGGTGTCCTCTTTGAGGAGAGAATGTTTTCAGAGTTGCAATCTGCTGGAATCACTGCCAGCCCACCTGGCTTGCTGGGCTGGGTGGGAGTGTTTCTGGTCCTGGTTATGTGGGTTTTGCATATTTCTCTGGGAGGGAGGACTTAGGCACTGGTGGGGCTTGTTGGCTGGGGTGTTGGCTAGATGTGGGGATCCCAGTAGTGGTGGCCTGTGAGGTGTGCAGCGGGGACTCCTGTGAAGGCATGGTAGGATCAGGAGTATCTCTGGGAATGCCTCTTGGTTTGTCTCTGGTGTGGAAGGTCACAGTAGAGAAACCTGCAGTGATGGGGACTCGGCCCACAAGGTCACCAGCTTGTGAATCTCCTCTGTGTTACAGCACTGCAGAGTGAGTTAGAATTGGCATTTTCTCAGGCAAGTGAGTGTGTCCTGGCAGGCTGCTCCAGCATGGGCGGGGTCACATCTCCCCGCAGTGGTGAGACCTGGGAGCAAGCACTGCTGTGTCAGGGTGTAGGCAAGGTGGAGCCCTGCAGAAGGTCTGTCCTGGGGGACAAGACACAGCCAGCCCCTGTGATGAGGCCATCTTGTCTCTGCTCTCCAGAGGAGATGTGGTCCGAGTCTGGGGTCTCCTCTAGTTGTTACTTCTCAAATATCGGAGTGGTCTGGAATTTTCCATCTCATCTTCTCTCTGTGACCAGATCTGCTTGAGGTTGGGTGCGGTATGGGGTGGCTGTGACTCCCTTGTTTGAACCTTATGTTCAGTGCATGTTGGCTAGGCTGGGCTCACCTGGCTGACAGCTCTGTAGCCTATGTCCTTCTGGGCCACAGACCATTGTCCCTTTGAGGGATGCCATATGTCAGTGTCTGCACCACAGCTGCGGAAGGAGCATTTTGTGAGTTTCGACTCTGGCTCTTCCCCACAAATGCCTTGTGTGGGGTTGGCTGTCACTGTGCTTATTACTTGGTTAGGCAATGGCAATGCAGTGCAACCTTAAAAGGGATACCATCTATAGACATTTTATCTTGACTTGAAACACACACATCCTCATTGTAAAATCAGTTACTTATTGTTTAGAAGAAACTGTGGTCTGCTTTTCACTACGGACTCAGGCAGGCACTGGGCAGGTGGAGGATCATTGTGTGTGTGGCCTGAGATTTGTATAGTGTTGTGTCTAGCTGTGTGTGGGGGTATGGTTTTTCTGGGGTGGGGATCTCCATGCAGTTTTTACCTTCACTCCCACTTGCACAGCACTGGGACAGGCTCCTGTCCCTGTGTACTTTTGGTTTCAAGTGAAGCAAGAACTTCTGTGAGATAGTCCAAGTTTTGAATTTCTGAACTTTGTTTCCCACCCTTTCCCTTTGCTTCACCTTACATGATTCAGTGCTAAGTGTTGGTGCCTTCCCTTTCTTCAGCTAACTTGGTTAGGTAGATAACGAAAGCACAAAGTGAAACTGGCCCAGCAGGCTGGGAAGCAGATGACTAGACCAGGGCATGCCAGGGCTGGATGGAGAAGGCTGGTCTACTCTCTGTGCCAGGATCCCAATATTCTTGCTTTAGGCAGGTCTCCTGTGTCCCTTTGGGACTTTTCTAGAAGTCACAGTTCTTGCCACCCTGGAAACACAAAAGGACAGGGAAGATGGTGAGCAATGTGGCTTATTGAATCCCTTTCCTTTGGGAAACTGCAAAGAAAGAGTAAGTGGAGAGAAGCAGAAGCACTGGTCACTAGCCACACAAGCTCTCTGGCTCATGGGCTGATATACCCCTTAGCTTACCTGAGATCGATTCCCTCAGACCCTGAGCTGCTGTTCATGGGGGAGCAGGAGATGCTCAAGTTGTCTGGGGGCTCAGCGAGAGCCTTATGTGTGGCCCAAGACCTGCCTCAGGCTCCTGCTCTGCCCGCAGATGCTGAGAAGGACCAGGAATGGCTGCAGAAGCAGTTCTGGCAGGAGACACAGGTGATGTGGTGGTCGTCACCACCATGGACCCTGGCCATTCTGAAGAGAGCTGGCTACGCTTTGTACATTGAAATGTCAGTGTATCTGTTTAACCTGTACATGTTCTGAAAATAACAGACCATCTTCTATTGCCAAAGCCCACATTTTGAATTTTTTAAAACTATACATTTTTTTACTGTGTTAAAATACAGATAGTGTGAAATTCACTATTTTAACTGTGTTTAGTTGTGCAGTGCTGTGGCCTTAATTTCTTGTTATTATGCAACCCATGCATTTCATGTCTTTTTTTATAGGAAGTTGTTCAGCTGCCTTTAGAATTTGTGAAACAGCTGTGTTTAAAGATACAGTGTGAAAGACCAGGTAAGGATGTCTTTACTTGCAAATATTGTTTGTGATTTTAAAAATGCCATTTGAAAAGTGTTTGAAATGATCACTCACGAAAGGTCCAGGTGGTTTTTAGCAATTCTGTTGCCAGAAACTTCATTATCCCCATGCCTGCCTTTCCTGTGCTTCCTGGTGGCTTTGTTGTCAAGCACCATATTAAAGCTTTTTTTCCTCAGTCATTGGTCACAGTCATGAAGCCCATACGTTGATTGTGAAAATGCCTCTTTCTAGAGCACAGCTAGGCAATGAGGGTGTGGAATTGGCCAGCTTAAAATTCTTCCTGATTTGATTCAGAAAACGAAAGCAAAGCAGTGCTCTGGGGCTGGGGTCTGGCTGGGGCGGGAGGAGCAGTGGCTCAGAAGGGGGAGGGTGCAGGGCTCCAGTCCTCATCTCCACGAAGGCGGATAGAGGTTGGCTCCAGATTCTGTCCCTGGCTGCTTGTGCTGCTTAGCATTCCCATTTCATTTTGTAATCATAGTTGAAGGTTTATTACTTCACAATGATAAGAGCTTTACTGCCCCTCATAATAACTGGTAGGAATAAAGCTTGCTGTGTAAAAGGGAAGCCAATCCCTGGGTGCCTGGAAGCCTAGCATTGTCTGGCTCTGTTCACACCAGCTTCCAGCGGAGCTGTGCTGAGGCTCTATGGGAGCACCATATGTTGGGAAGGCAAAGTTTGAGAGGAAGGAAGGGACTGAAGTCTCCTTCTTCCCCAGGTTCCTGGGCTAAGGGATTTGTGAAATGAGCAGGCCATTTCTAAGGCCACCCTCGCTTCTGACAACTATTGTACATTTGACGGTTCCCCAAGGCCACTCAAGGTTGATAACTGCCTAGAAAGACCCTATATCTCACCATTATACTCACAGTTCTGGTTTATTACAGTGGGCAGTATTTATTCTCCCAATGACCATGCTACCACACACCGAGTGTTGCCACTGGAAAGATTCCTGGGCTCAGAGGCATGACAGGCTGACTCAGTCTTCAGCCCTCCAGAGATGACACATGTCCTGCAGCCACTTGTCTACTTCATGTATCCTAAGGTTCCCCTATAAAGATGAGTCTTTCCTTGGGCTCAATGACTTCCTATGGCCAGGGTATCTTGGAATCCTCCCCTACAGGATTCTTCCCAGTGGCTGCAGGGCTCACTGTCTTTCCTTCTGACCCTCACGGTGACCCTTACTCTGTCTTCCAGAATCTCGTTGTGACAAGGATCTAGACACACTCAGTGGTTATGCTATGTGCCTTCCCAACCTAACCAGACTTCAGACCTACCGCTTTGCAGAGCACCGGCCAATTCTGTGTGTGGAAATTAAGGTGAACTTTCATGGAGGGACAAGGCCGTGGGTGACGGGGAAGGTTGGTCTCTGGCTGTGAGTCTGCACAGCATATTCCTCCAGGACATGTTCAGCCCCTTCTCTGGAACTCAGTTTGCTTCTCTGTCCTTCCAGAGTTGTCCTCTGCATCAGGCATGCTTCGGTCCCTTTCACAGCTACTGGACCCTAGGTGTAGGCTCCTTCCTTTGTGCTGACAATGAGGAAACCCATCCCATAGCCTGGAGGGTCACCAGAGGGAGGCATGTTGGTCCCCCTCTCACCCTTCCAATGCTGTTTTCCTCACGGTACTTCTCACAACCTTCTTCCCCACTTCCTTTGACCTCATTAGCCATGTGACTACTGTTCTTGGTGCTGAGGACCCAGTGCTGGGGCACCCTTTAGACTGGTGACTCTGTGTCCTGTGCAAGAGGACCTTTTCCAGAGGCACAGAGGCCTGTGTGCCCTCTAGGCCCTTGTGTATCCTGGCCAGCAGTCCTGGATAGATTTCCTATCTGGTGCAGGCAGTAGGGGCTGGAGAAGGGCCAGAACCCTAATGCTTCAGCTGCCTGTCTTGAGGGTGGCTGTCCAAGCATCTCAAGAAGTCTCCCTATACATCTGGCCATTGGTTATCTTCTTCCCCACCTCTGGAGCAGTGACCTGGGGCACGCCCTGGGCCTGAAGACATGTGCTTCGTGACCCTTGAGGGTTTGATGTCTCTCGAGCCATGTTCTCCAGTGTGCTGAGCCCAGGCTTTGTGTGTTACAATGCTCAAAGAATGCAGCTTTCAGAAGGTAGCTGGGTTCCCTGATGTCCTAGGGGCCTAGCACCTATCAGATAGGTGCCTTAGAGTCAGCAGAAACAATGGTTCTGCTTCTGAGAGCCTGGAGCCTATCTCTAGTCCTTCCAGTTTGCCAGTTGTGTTCTGTAATGAAAGCACAAAGCTGCTCTGTGTTGTCGTCATGCCACCTAGTCAGAGCCTCCATTGGCCTTCCCAGTGAAAGAGCTGGCCTTGCGTCCTCTGGAGCAGAGATGTTTGTATGATGTGCTAAGGGAAGTGTTGGCTCCCCTGGGAGCCGAAAGTGAGAACAACTTCTGGGGATATTTCTGCCTCACCCTTGCCCCTCTTTAGTGATGGTGTATGTTTAAAGGTATGTGATTTCTCCCTCAACATTTTTTTCTTATTTATTTTACAGCCAAAATGTGGGTTCATTCCTTTCTCAAGTAATGTTACCCATGAGATGAAGCATAAGGTGTGTCGCTACTGTATGCACCAGCACCTCAAGGTGAGAGGAGCTGACAGCTGGGTTGTGGGAGGGCTGAGCACTGTGTGTCTAAGCCCAAGGGGAAGCCACTCAGAGTTTTCAGAAGAATAAAAGAAAACGTGAATGTTTCCTACTGGGTTTTCATTTTACAAGTAGATCATGTTCAGTTTTTAAGTAATTAAGATATAATTCACAGACCATTAAGATTCCTCTTTTATGGTAGAGAGCCTGCCTAGTAAGTGTAAAGCCCTGAGTTCAAACCCCAGTACCACCAGAAAAGATTACTCTTTCAGAGTAATATAAGAAAGATTACTCTTTCAGACCATATAACTCAGTGGGTTTTAGTCTCTTCACAATCACTTCTAATTCCAGAACATTTTCATCACCTCTAGAAGAAACCCTGACCCTATTAGTGGTTACTGTCCATTCCCCTCTCCTTCAATCTACTTTGTATGGATTTCCCTATTCTGGACATCTCATGTAAGTGGGATCTCATAATATGTGGCCTTTTGTGCCTGGAGTTTATTACTTTTTATAATGTTCTTGGGACTCATCCACGTTGAGGCTTTCCTTATCCATACACTATCCTCTTGTATGAATACACCAAGCGGCTTGTCAATCCATCTGAATGGAATTCCAACATGTAGATCACTTCCACCCCTTGGCTATTGTGAGAAGGGCTACCATGAACATTTGTGTACATGTACTTGTTTTGAGTCCCTATTCTCAATTCTTGTGAGTACATTCCTAGGAGTGGAATTACTGAGTTGTAAGGTAATCCTGTGTTTAATTTTGAGGAACCACCAAACGATTTCCCACAGTAGCTAGACCATTTTACATTCGTATCAGTGATATGTGAGGGTTCTGATCTCTCTTGGACAACACTTGGTGCTGTCGTCAGTTCCTGTGCTTATAGTCATTCTAATAAGTGTGAGGTGGTATTGATTTGCATTTCCCTTGCATTAGTGATGCTTATGGCCATTTTATATCTTTTATGGAGAGATGCCTGTTGAAATCCTCTAAAAATGTTTTTTTGTTAAGGTTGAGTTGTAGGTGTTCTCTATATATTTTGGATGTTAATACCTTATGTGAGATGCGATTTGCAGATTCATTCTGTCAGTTGCCTTTTTTCTCTGGGATAGTGTCTTTTAATGCACAAAAGTTTTATATTTTGATTAAGTCCAGTTTTTCCTTTTGTTGTCTGTGCTTTTGATATCATATTCAAGAAATTGTTGCCAAATCCAATGCTACAAAGCTTTCTTATGTTTTCTTCTGTACGTTTTAGGTCTTATGTTTAGACCTTTGATCTCTTTTGAGTTAATTTTTATATATGGTATTAGGTAAGTATCCAACTTCATTCTTTTGAATGTGGATATCTAGTTTTCCTAGCACCTTTGGGAAGACTGTCCTTTCCTCCCAATATTGGTCTTGGCACCCTGATTGAAGGCCTTTGGGGCATATAGGTGAGGGCTTACTTTTGGCACAAGTCTTTCAGTACTTTGAATGAGTTTATTTTTGAGTATTTTATTCTTTTGGAATATTATACATATCAGAAATTAAAACTGAGACCCTGTGCCCATTGAACAGTAACTCCCCATTCCCTCTCTTTACCAACCCTTGGCAAGCACCATTCTGTTGTCCATCTGTGACTGACTGCTCCAGTGCCCTATGTAAGTGGAATTACATAGTATTTGAATCTCTGTGACTGGCATATGTCCCTTAGCACAGTATTCTCAAAGTACATCCATGTCATACATAGCATGTATCAGAATCTCCTTCTTCCTAAAGGCTGAGTAACAATGTTGCATTATATGTATGTGCCGTGTTTTGTTTATCCATTCACTTAATTGATTGGCACTTGGGTTGCTTCCACATTTTGGTTGTTGTGAATGATGCTGCTGGCTCTGCCTCAGTTCTCTTGTGTACACAACCAGAAGGAGAATTGCTGGGTCATATGATAATTCCATTTTTACTTTTGAAGGCTCTCCAGAGTCTTTTTCATTGTGGCTGCACCATTTTATATTTCCATCAACAGTATAGAAAGGTTCCAGTTTACCTGCAACACTGCCAGCACCTATTTTTGTTTTTTTTCAACTTGGTCTCACCCTATATTCCAGCCTGGCCTTGAACTTGGAATCCTACAGCCTCACCCTCCTGAGTGCTGGGATTATAAGCATGTACTACCATATTCACCTCTTTCTGTTTCTTTTCCTTCCTTCACCCCTCCTTTGCTCCCTCTCTCTGTCTCTTTTTTTTTGTGGTACTGGGGATTGAACCTAGGGCCTTGTGGGTGCTAGGCAAAACACTCTACCACTTGGGCCACACCCCCAGCCTTTTTGTTTGAGTTTTTTTTCTTCTAGCACTGTAGTTGTGTCATACCTATTCCTTCTCACTTCAGTGGTTCACAGTGAGAAATCAGCTGCCAGTCTTAGGGAGGAACTTTGTATGTGAACTACTTCTCTCTTGCTGCTATCTAAGATTTGTTGTCTTTGTCTTTTTTCTGTTTTTGAGATGGGGGCTTGCTGTGTTGCCCAGGCTGCCTTGAACTCATGGTTGTCTTGCTTCATCATCTCAAGTGTTAGGAATACAGGTGTAAACTACCATACCCAGTTCCTGTTTTTGTCTTTTGATAGTTTCTGATATGTCTAGGTGTGGATCTCTTGGACTTTATCTCACAAGTCACTGATTACCTCTTCTGCTTAGTCAAATATGCTGCTGAGCCCTCTAGTTACTTTTTAATTTTAGGTACTAAAACTTTTCAACTATAGAATTTGTTTGCTTTATAATTTCTGCCTCTTTCTTACTATTCTCTATTTGTTAGGACATTAGTCTTCCTGTTTCCTTTAGTTCTTTGTCCCTGGTTTCCTGTAGTTATTTAAAATAGTTGATTTAAATCTATGTCTAGTAAGTCCAAGGCTTCAGTTTCCTCAGGAACTGTTTACTGATCGCTTTTTTTCTTACCATATGGGCCATTCTTTCTTTTTTCATTGTGTGTTTTATGATTTATTGAAAATGGGTACCTTAAATAATGTGGCTGCTGTGGAAATTAGATTTTACCCTCCTCTAGGATTATTTTTTAATTGCTGTGTCTTATAGTTGATAATGTTTAGCTACTCTTCTGTTTTAGTTTTGCGAAGTCTCTGTTCTTTGTCAGGTATGATCCCTGAAATCTCTACTTAGTCAGCTTCCTGGCTAATGGTTAGTTTACTAGCTAATGGTTTGGTAGGTATTTTCCGAAGTGCTAGGGACCTGAAAGTCTCCCAGTCTTTGCTGAGGGACTCTGGTGCATGTTGGAGCTCCCTAACACTGAGCAGGGCAGTTGACAACTCTTCACTTCATGGGCCTGAGATCAGCTGAGTCGAGAGGTTAGGGCCTTCTCAGGTCTTTCTTGAGCCTGTGCATGCAGTTCTAGATGACTAGGAATGTGTTGGAACTTTTTAAGGCTTCTCTGTACATCTCTTTACTCAATGTTTTTCTCCTTTAGCTTTAAGCTAGCCTGTTGTTTCTCCCTCTGTCTCAGGAAACCATGAGGTCACACAGTTATCTGTAAATGTTTTTGACAAATTCCACTGGGGAGGAGGCCTTCTTTTCCTCAGGGTGAGTTCTGAGTCAGGTCAGTAAAGACAGCTGTGCAAGTAGAATCTTCCTGGGACCAAGGCACAGGCCAGATAATGAAAGACCTTTGGGACTGTGGCTTTGGAGATACTCCTGCCCTGTTCTCCTCTTTCTGTGGCAGCTGCTTGGCTTCTGATTCTCACCGTGATTGTGATAGTTGGTTTTCATGCTTCACTTGGAGCTTGAGATTGGCAGATAGGAATAGGGCCTCAAAGTGTCAAAAAGTGCACTGTTCCTACTTAAATTTGGCCATTTTCCTTGAATACATGCTCTCTGGATTATTGAACACCTTTGTTCAATTTCTAGAGTTCCAAAACTTTTGATTCTGACAATTTTTTGCCAGATTTCTCCTGCAAAAAGCAAACCCAACTTATAATTTTTAAGGAATATTTTTTAATGTGAAGCAATACATGCTCATATAATTGATAAATGTGATGTATTATGAATTTGGTCACATTCCTTCCTAATTCATATTGTCTTTCCATCTCTCCTGTTGTAACATGTATACGTGTATCCAGGTGGAAGTCAGATGATACCTTTCCTGTGTTCTGATGTGTGCGTGAGTGTCCATGTTTGTGTGCGCCTGTGTGCACAGGCACACACACCCCTAAGACAAAGTAGGACCATTCTTTCTGTACTTGTTCTACTTTTTTTTTTTTCGCTAAAATAATCCTTGAGGATTGTTTGTGTACTCTTCTCAATGTATATTTGGATGTGTGCATGTGTATGTAAAACTTTTTAAAGCAAAAATGCCATCATGCTGAATGGCATTGTTCTGCCAGTTGAACCAGTCTTGATGGCCCTACCTCTTTCTGGGAATGGCTGCATATAATTTATTCGTTCCTCCATTGTATACTGGCCCCACTGGGTTATCTAGTCCTTTCCCTGCTGAGTATTGTCTGCAGTGAACATCTTATCCCTATACCTTTTTGTCCTTGTTTTTGTAGATTCTTCATAGACTTGCTGAGTCAGGACACACACATTTTATTTTTTATTTTATATTTTTGGTGGGACTGGAATTTTTTTTTTAATTTTATTATTCATATGAGCATACAAGGCTTGGGTCATTTCTCCCCCCCCCCCCCACCCCCTCCCTTACCACCCACTCCGCCCCCTCCCTCTCCCCCCCACCCCCTCAATACCCAGCAGAAACTATTTTGCCCTTATTTCTAATTTTGTTGAAGAGAGAGTATAAGCAATAATAGGAAGGAACAAGGGTTTTTGCTGGTTGAGATAAGGATAGCTATACAGGGCATTGACTCACATTGATTTCCTGTGCGTGTGTGTTACCTTCTAGGTTAATTCTTTTTTATCTAACCTTTTCTCTAGTTCCTGGTCCCCTTCTCCTATTGGCCTCAGTTGCTTTTAAGGTATCTGCTTTAGTTTCTCTGCGTTAAGGGCAACAAATGCTAGCTAACTTTTTAGGTGTCTTACCTATCCTCACCCCTCCCTTGTGTGCTCTTGCTTTTATCATGAGCTCAAAGTCCAATCCCCTTGTTGTGTTTGCCCTTGATCTAATGTCCACATATGAGGGAGAACATACGATTTTTGGTCTTTTGGGCCAGGCTAACCTCACTCAGAATGATGTTCTCCAATTCCATCCATATACCAGCGAATGATAACATTTCGTTCTTCTTCATGGCTGCATAAAATTCCATTGTGTATAGATACCACATTTTCTTGATCCATTCATCAGTGGTGGGGCATCTTGGCTGTTGCCATAACTTGGCTATTGTGAATAGTGCCGCAATAAACATGGGTGTGCAGGTGTCTCTGGAGTAACCTGTGTCACAGTCTTTTGGGTATATCCCCAAGAGTGGTATACACTTCTGAAGAAAGAGATTGAGGAAGACTATAGAAAGTGGAGAGATCTCCCATGCTCATGGATTGGGACTGGAATTTTAACTCAAGGCTTTGCAAAGCAGGTATTCTATTGCTTTAGCCACACCTGCCGTCCATTTTGGTGTGGTTATTTTGGAGATGTGGTCTCACGAACTATTTGCTCAGGCTTGCCTTGAGCCTTGATCCTCCTGACCTCGGCCTCCGATGTAGCTAGGATTACAGGTGTGAACCACCAGCGCCTGGCACATTTTGTATTTTAATGGCTATCATAAAAGGTTGTGCCAATTTATCATTGCAGTGGCAGCATGAAATTACTTTTACAATACCTCCATTATTGGATGTTAGAAGTTTAGTGATTTGTTAGTCTCGTTACCACATTTAGCCATGTAATTTTCAGGTTCTTACTGCTTTCTTCCCTGCTCATGAGAACGTCTAGATTGGTAGGGATCGGAGTTTCAGAGATGGCTGAGTTTCCTTGGATGAGGGTCAAGGGCCCTCTTGCTACTTAGTGATGTGTACCTGAGGCTTTTTCTGGGACAAGATTGGAGCTCGTTTTAATTATTGAGTCATTGATGCTATTCTGTATGTTAATGTCACTGTGTAGTCACTGGTAGCCCATCATTTGATACTGTCATTTTGGTGTTTCAAAGGTAGCAACTGGAAAGTGGAAGAAGATAAGTAAATACTGTCCCCTTGATCTCTACTCAGGGTAAGAGTCACTTCTCATTTGCCCTCTGGAGGTGGGGTAGTGCCCTGCTTGGGGCTATCCTATGAGGTGGGGACTGGGGTGTTATTCTGTAAAGTAATGATGGTGGGGGGGGTGATAGTCCCTGAGATGAGGAAGGAGGTATTATGTGGGGTGGGGGGGGTGGGATGGTGGGGGTATATTTTCTGAAGTGTTGACAGTTGGGTGTATTCTGTTAGGTGAGCAGAGATGGGTTTCTGTGAGGTAGAGATGGTGTGGGGTGTTCTGTGAGGTGGGAATGGGGTCTCTATTCTGTTTGTAGGGCTCTAGTTGATCTGTCTGAGAAACCCTGAGATTTAGGTTTTAGGCTTTGTCTTTCTGCTCATAGCTTGAGGTGGTTGCTGACTTACTGATTTTCCTACATTCAGATTGCCTCTTAAGTTTTGTCTTTTACTCATATAAGGAAACAGCTGATGCTAAGCCTTGACCTCCATCTGTCTGGCCCTTGTGATTTGGTTGTTTGTGTTTTTGGTTTTAGGTTTGTCCCCATATAGTAAAAAGGCTGCTGCTCTGGCAGCAGCTTCTGCCCTGGTGAGGCTGCCTTCAGCTGGTGTCAGGCTTGTGGGCCTCTTCTCCCACCTGGCTCTGCCCTTGGCCTTCCTGATCCTGCAGCTTTGCTGTGTACCCAACATGCATGTGGCTTGCATGCAACCTGGGGCCCAGTCCTGGCCCACAGCATTTGTGGTCAGGAAGGTGATGGTGGCCAGGAGCTAGGGAGGGTCTGTCAGTATTAGGGGTCCCTAGGGTGAAGGGGGTGGCAAGGCTGAGGACTGGGAGAAGGTGGAGTAAGGAGGGGCCCGGGCAATACCTGTGTTTCCCGGATAGCCCTGGTAGTCTCACTGCCTGTCCCACTTAGCCCAGCCCCACATACCCTTGGGGGTGAGTTGGTTGCAGGGTGGTGTGAGCCTTTGCTGTCCTTTCTGGTAAGCCAGGGCTCCTTCCTAACCTTTTCCTGCTTCTAGCCCCTAATTAGCGCAGGGCTGTTTAGTGCGGACTGTTTTTTTTTTTTTTTTTTTGCGATGTTGGATTTGAACTTGGGGTCTATACCTTGAGCCACTCCACCAGCCCTATTTTTGTGATTGGTTTGTCAAAATAGGGTCTCATGAACTATTTGCTGGGCTGGCTTTGACCCTTGATCCTCCTGATCTGTCTCCTGAGTAGCTAGGATTATAGGCTGTGAGCCACCTGCGCCTGGAGGTGTGGCCTGTTTTGCACTTTGTTGGTTCTTCATCTTCCCTCCTTCCCTCCTTCCCTCCCTCTCTCTGCTGCCTTTCTGAGTGTTCAGCACTGACTCCTGGTGCAGTGAGCGCATGCTCATTGCACAGTGCTTATCGCACAGTGCTTTTGGTTAGATGCTGTTGCAAAGTGACCAGAGTAAAGATGCTTTTTGAAGTTATGAAGTTCAAAGTCAAGTGTTGAGGATACTTGTGCCAGAAAACAAAATATAACTGTTTTCACGTGGCAATTGAGTCAGGCAGTGGTGTGTTTATCAGTGAATCATGTACTCCTTTACCAGTGTACCCAAAGCCTGTGAGCTGTGAAGCTGTCAGTAATAAAGATCATTGCTGAGAACTTATGACTCGTTAGACCTGAGTCAGGAGCCTTCCTAGAATATTCAGAATATGGCTCGCTGTGGGTACCAGTGCTTTGATGCTTGCTATCCCCGGTGGCAATTGCTGGGGAGGGCTTGGCATCCTTGCCTGCAGTGGTTTGCCTCTATGGGGTCCTGAGGTTCCATGTGAGAGTGAGAGGCTGGGGCTTGTTTAGGGACAGTGATTGAGTACCTTTGCCATGAGGAAGGGCTTGGCGGTGAGTACTGGCAGTGAGGAGGGGATAACAGGCTGAGAGCTATGGGTGAGTGAAGGGCAAAAAGGGCATTGGTGGGGGGGAGGGAAGGGAAGACCATAACTCTTCAAGGTGGAGGGCAAATGGTTCTAGGGCCCCTGGTTCCCTGCACTCCCCAGTGACCCATCATGTATCTTGTGTGGCTCTGAGCACCTGCTCCAGCCTTTGGAAGCTGTAGTGGAGGAGCAAGTGGGGAAACTGGCTGGGCTAGGAGAGAGGCTGGTGGGCCCCTACCAGCTTTCTCTGTCTCAATGAGATCCTTCATGTCTGCTCTCAGTATAGTAAGGGGAGGATGTCACTGGACCTATCTGGGCTGTGGGTTCCCCAGCTCAGACTAGAGCCGGTGCAGGTATAGACACCAGGACAGTTCCCATTGCCTTTAAAGCCTGTTGATGCTTTGTTCTTTTAGAAACAAACAGCGCATGCACTTTGCCTTGAAGAGTCTGCTGCAGGAGGCACAGAACAATCTGAGGATATTTAAGGTAAGAGCTGTTTCCAGTCTATGGCACTTTCCAGGTGCATCCCCTGCACTTTGATCCTGGCCACAGACTTGGTGACCACATAGATAGGGTGTCTGGGCTGGGCTGCCTCAGGCCCAGCTCTGTGTCTGATGTCACCTTCGGTGCTGTCCACACAGACCTTGCAGTCCCAGACCCTCCATCTTTGCATCTACAGCCCAGCCCACAAGCACAGCAGCACAGTGGCCCCAGGTTCTCTGTGGTCCTGTATGTGTGACAGCGAAGTCTCAACCTATGCTGGGCAGGACCGAATCTCCTTCGGTGCTAATAGGTATGTCCAGGACAAGGACAGCTCTGGTCTGTTCTGGGTACCTCCTATGTCTGAGGCCCATGTGGTACTGAGGGGAGCTAGAGTGGGGCCAGGCAACTGCCCAGGTCATAGTCCCTGCTGGAAGCAAGTGCCAAACCCTGTGGCATTTGCCTTCCGTGTACCTTTATTCTCAGTTAACTTCAAGACCTTATGACTCCAGGAGTTCCTTGTCAATGAGCAAATTCCCTGGGTCTTGGAGTTCAGTGTCCTCCCTCTGACAGCATAGGGATGAGGGAATCTTCCCATCCTGAGTGTGACTGCCTTTAGTTCCTTGTCATGTGGCTGGTCCCCAAGATGCTGCCAGAATGATGTAGGAGTGACTAGGAGGGGAATGGGACTGGGGGAGGGAGGAGGGGTGGTGAGGTGGGATGTAGGGCTGGCCTAGGAGGCAGGAGCTAGGTATTGGGTAGCCAGTGGACCTGCTTAAAGAAGCCTTGTGCCTTGGGCTGGGAATGGTGACTGGTGAGCTGGAAGGCCTGTGCATTGTTTTTCTGTTGTGTGACTGGTGCTCTTCCAAAGTGGGTAGGACATAGCCTAGTCTTGACCTGTTCTCTTGCTCTAACTCAGAAATTCCACTGTCCTAAGTGGCTGGTCAGCATAATCAAGTTTATTCTCCATTTGCCTCCACCTTCCCAAATCCAGAAAAGGAAGACATAGTTCAAAGATAGCTTTTTTTTTCTTTTCTTTTTTTTTTTTTTTTTTTGGTAGGATTGGAGTTTAAATTTAGGGCATTGCTTGAGCCACTCCTCCAGTCCATTTTGCTCTGGTTATTTTGGAGATAGGGCATCTCTCCTAAACTATTTCTCCCAGATGGCCATGAACCATGATCCTTCTGATCTCAGCCTTTCAAGTAGTTAGGATTGTAGGCATGAGCCACAGGTGCCCAGCCAAAGGCAGTTTTTAACTCTTTCTTTTAGGATTTAGAAAACTTGTCGCACTCTGATCCTGGCCACCAGCTTGATCCCCTGGGCTGACCATACAAATGGTGTCCAGCCCGGGCTGCCTCAGGTGCAGGCCCAGTCCTGCAAGTCTGATGTCTTTGGGATAGTCTTGAGGATAAATCACCTTCACAAGGTTGTTTCTTTGATGTTCCTAATGAAGCTTGCATTTCTGACCCCATCAAACCCACATTCAAGGTCTCTGGGTCAGCACTCTGCTGCCTGCTGCTTCTGTAATAGCCAGTATGTTAAAAGCTGGTGGACTGGCCAATAGTTTCCAAAGACTTTTTTTGGTGGAACTGGGGTTTGAACTGAATAGTTTCTAAAGAAGTGGGTCAAGAGAAGCAATATGGAATGGCTTTTTAAAATAATCAGACAGCCACACCGTGTATTTTCTATCACAGGCATCGCTAGCTCTCACGCACCATCCCTTCCTCTTGTTCCACAAACCCAGCAAGGCAGAAAACCTCCCCCAGAGGTTGTGGTCTAGGTGTGGAGAAGCTGCCTGGGTTGTGGTTGATGATCCCATGCTAGACACTTGTGAGGAGAGGCATTGATGAGAGCATGAGGGATATGGATGCTATCATAGAGCCACTGCTGTGCCACCTGAGTTAATGGCTCTGCTGAATGCCCCATGAGGTCCTTGAGTGACTGTATTTGTATCTATAAAACGCTGTCCCTGGACTCCACACTTAATTGTGCTTCATGTCTGGACGAGTACTTGGGTGTGGAGGAGGGGCCAGCTTCTCTGTGTGCACAGGTGGTCCTGCTCTAGACCTCGGCTGGCTACACCTAGCTCCACTTCTGGCCACCCTTCCTTGTTGTCCCCTGCCTAGCATGGCCAGCATGGTGACTCAGTCATCCTGTGGGCTTGGACAGCCTCCAGACAGAGACTCCCAGATAGGCACACCAGTATCCAGTGAGGGAGGAGAGCCCACCTATGCCTCTTGAGGGCAGGGGTTGTCCTCTCTTTCATCTACTGCTAACCCCAGACCTTAGCTTCACACACTGCTTTTACCACCAGTGTTGCACAGACCAGCAGTGCAGGAGCAGCTTAGCTGGTTCTGCCTGGAGATCTCATCTGAAGGCTTGGGTGCGCTGATGGCCTCAGTCCCTGCCTTGTGGGACTGTTTCTGGGCTGCTTTGTGGTTGTGACTTAAGAGAGTGACTGAGACAGAAGACCGTGTACCTTTAGTAGCAGCCTAGAAGGTGCAATGTCATTGCCTGTGCCATATTCTGTTGATTACATTGACCAGCCTGGTGGCTGGCCTATATGCCCACCAGTCTTACAGACCTGATCACAATCCTGGGGTCAGCTGTAGCTTAAGGCCATCCCCAAACACCAGTAGGCCCCTATAAAAGCTCTAGTGTGGGGCACTGGGCAGTGGATGGCCCTGCCATGCCCCTAGAATGCCCAAATCTAACAGTGGTGCCATAAGAAGCTTTCTGTAAGAAGGCAGGACATGAAGGTTTCTACCCTGGTGACCTGGGCGCTTCTTCCACTGCAAGTCTTGGCTCTGAGGCTTCTGCCCAGCTGTGGAATCACCCTGGGGCCTGGCCTTGGCCTGCAGCCCCTGTTTGGGCCCTGGTGTCTTGGGGAGTTTGTTGCTTTGTGCTGTTTATGTGATTGTGTCTGTGTCCGAGGTCTGTCTGTCAGGCCAGCATGCTGCTCTTAGGCTTTTGAACTTTCTTTTTAGGCTCAGTGGGATTTGCCTCTTGGTGACATGGCACAGGAGAGTGGGTGTCATGGCACACACAAGTGCTATGGTCTGCATTGACCCTGATGGGGCTCGCTTGGAACACTTTTGCCCCTTGCCCCAGCAGGCACTTCTGAGGTGTTTTCCTACCAATTTGTGAGGTCCCTGTCTTCTGCTTTCTCTTTCCTGCCTGAAGAATGGTGAGCTGATCTACGGTTGTGGTGATGCCCGGAGTCCTGTAGCTGACTGGAGGGAACTTGCGCACCACCTGAAGCCCTTCTTCTTCCCCTCCAATGGCCTGGCCAGTGGCCCCCACTGCACGAGGGCTGTGATCCGGGAGCTGGTGCATGTTATCACGTGGGTGCTGCTGAGCAGCTCCGACAAGGGCCGAACCAGTGCCCTGAGGCCTGGGCTTCAGGGCCCACGTGTCTGTGAAGCCAGCCCTTTCAGCAGGAGCTTTCGCCACCAAGGTAGGGCTCAGCCTTCCCCAAATGGGTGTTGGGGACTGTCCATTTCCCACTGGCAGAAAGGCTGGAGCCATGAAATGACTGTGTGGCCTCATGTGGCTTTGTGGTGCCTCTGGGGGTGCTGCCTGGTTCCCTCAGGGCTCTCTGGGGTGGGGCTTGCCTTGCACTGGGTAGATACTCTCTTGTTACCTTTTAGCTGGGCTTGTAAATTGACATGTTTGGGCTGTCAGGTTTTTCCTGGAACATTGCCCATGTGTTCTGTTTAATTCTCATCATAACCCTGGGGGCGGGTTCTCCTCGGCCTGTTCGTAGGGGAGAAATGAGGCCAGGAGTCCTTCAGGGCTGGATTGAGTGCTGTGGGGTAAAGTCAAGTTGGGAGCCTGTGGGTCCCAATTGTCTGCCTTATAGACTGCAGGGAGCCAGATTAGCCCTACCACCACCTGCAGTGTTTTATACTGTCTCATGAGCTGTGGCCAGGTGTGACTCGGGGGACTGAACAGACCCTTGAGGAGTTCGAAGATGGCTGTGACTATCAGGAATCCCCCAGGCTTTGGTTTCCTGACTGATTCTCCTCCCCCACACTCCAGCTGAGTTTTTTTTGTCACAGATGAATTTTGTGGGTTTCTTTTTCCTTGTTACAAAAGTGATTTATTGTTGTTTCAGAAAATTTTGTTGAAACTAAACCCATAGTTTGGGCACTAGATGTAGAATGTGTCTGGAAGGACCTGGGGTGTTTTTCGTAGAAGTTTTTAGAGACCTCTTCCAAGGTGTTCTGGGGCTTGTGGTGGAGTTGAAAGGATGTTCTAGGGATTGGTTTTTGGAGAGTACAGGCACAAAGCTACACTTGGGCTCCTCGCCTTCCGTGTTCACCACCTGGTATACCCAGGTTGTCTGAGCTTGTTCCAGCCCCACAGCTCTGAGATGGGTGTGGAGTCTGCCCTCAGTGCCAGGTGGGGACCCAGTCCTCTTCTGCACTGCCCAGCGGCCAGGCCCAGGGTAAGCCCTGTGGTTTGTGCCAGCCTGTGTCTCCCTCCACAGTCTTTAGTCTTTGATAATAAACCTGCTCTCATTTTCCCCTGATGTTCTTGGTAGGAAAAAACACCCCAGAGCACTCGGGGTTACCGAAGGGCTGTCTTCTGTACAAAACCCTCCAGGTGCAGATGTTGGACCTGCTGGACATTGAAGGCCTCTACCCTCTGTACAACCGGGTTGAGCAGTACCTGGAGGACTTTCCTGAGGCGAGGTGAGTCAGCACAGGGTGAGGCCATGGGGGGTGGGCTGGGGCTGAAGTTGGCCTAACCCTAGGATAGCGCCTGGCTCCTGGAGGACCACTTCTCCCTGTGACAAGGCACCAGAACATGACTGAATGTTGTGCCTTGAGGGAGTCTGTGTGAGATTAGTGGTCACTATACATTTCTAGAAAAGAAAGCAAATCTGTGAACCCAACAATTCCAAAATCCCGAGTCAGGGCCCAGCCTATAGAGGGCAGTGTTGTTTCATGGGCTGATATACACTGACCTGGTTGCTTGATCTTCGCTGCCAGCAGAACCTTGAGCCCTAGGCCTGGTGGGAGGCTCCTGTGATCCACACTTGGGCTTTCTGATGGGGCTGGATTCTCTTCTGCCTTAGGAGATTTTTCTTGAGTCTCTGGTGAACAGCAGAGGACATTGGATCCCTGATCCCCAGTCTTACTGGGTTCTGTAAACCTTTGATGTTGCAGATCCAGGTACTATGAGGAAGCAGATGTCTGTTAGGAGCCGTCTGGATCTTGAGTTCAAGGCCAGCCTAGGCTACATAGTAAGACCCTGTCTCCAAAAAAAAAGGGATTGTTAGGTTGAGGTATGTGATGTGTATCATGTTAGCAATTTAAGAAACAATTCCAGGTAGCTTTGTTATTCTGCTTCTTTTATTTTCTCTGTTTTTTTGGTGCTGTCTTCTTCAGAAAAACATTACAAATAGACGGGCCTTATGATGAAGCGTTTTATCAGAAGCTGCTTGATGTGTCCACTGAGGACGATGGGACAGTGGCCTTCGCATTAACGAAGGTAAGCAGAGCTTCCAATCATTGTGTGCTCCAGTGGCTCTTAGCTCTCACTCAGGGTTTTCCTTCTCCCACCCCTGACTGTGACACAGAAAACCCAGGGATCTAAAAGATGAGTGGCCGCAGTTGCCCCAGATGGGCTGGGGCTGGTGATGGCACATGTAAGCATCCAACGAGGGTTTCTCCTGGCTCATGCAGGTGGGTGGTGGCTTCAGTGTCCACCATGCTTTGGGGCCATGGCCCAGCACAGGCAATCTGCATCCCGCTTAGAGGTGTTAAATTGGCACAACACCAGTTGTCCCTCTCCTCAAGCCAGCTGGCTAGGGGCCCAGCTTCACCTGAGGCTGAGCACCACGGACCTGAGGTCACAGGGCTGCTCAAGAGAGACTATGGGAGCAGACTGGGCCTTGTACTTTCTGCTTCTGTGAAATTCAGGAAATTCAAGACTCCGTGAACTTGGGTAGGAGAAACATACATTTATATTCATTGACATCCACCTGAAATTCAGCATTTCCTTCCATTATGAGTATGGCACTATTCCGTGGGGTGGGCAGGACCCATGCCCTCCAGTTACAGACATTTCAGGATGTATGGCCTCGCTGCCTTGAGGTGCTTGTGTGTGTTGCATGGAATCCATTTCTTGAAAACATTTTGGTACTTTGCATTGTTACTCTCTATGTTGTGCTGTGTGCATTTAAACATGTTACTCTGAGAGGAGTCACAGGCTTTACTAGGTTTTATGAGACACTGAATCAGTGAAGTAGGCCTGTTTTCATGGAATAGGGTGCTGCTCCTTCTGCCCTACACACATGTGGCCCTGGGGCTCATCTGTCATATCTGGTGACGGTCAGTCCCTCCGCCTGGCAAAAGAGCCCTAATGCTGTCCCACAGCTGCAGTTGCTGGAGGTCTGAGGAGGAGGGTGTAGAGGACTTGCAGAGTCTGAGATGCACCTCAGAAGCACAGGCTGTGGGGTGTGGGTGGAGGCGCAGAGCAGTGGTTCGTGGGGTGGGGACCCCCACAGGGGAACCTCTGTTCAGAATAGAATATAATAGCCAAGCTGCCTTGTGGCATGCAGCTTGGGTTCGTTAACTTAGGAAGACACAGCAGCAGTGCCTTGCTTTTCTCCTTTGGTAGAAGAAACAGGACTTTATTTTTTTTTGTACTTTTCAGTCTCCTACTAGATGAACATAGATGAATAGCCAGGAGCTGATGGCTCACACTTGTAATCCTAGTTACTCAGGCAGAGATCAGGAGGATCAAGGTTCAAAGCCAGCCCAAGCAAATAATTCTCGAGACTTTATCTTGAAAAAAACCATCACAAGAAAAAGGGCTGGTGGAGTGGCCCAAGGTGTAGGACCTGAGTTCAAACCTCAGTACCACAAAACAAACAAAAAAACTTTGTATCATCACACAGCTGTCTAAAACTGTCTGGAATGAGCCCACTGGGATAGAGGCCAGCATAGGGAAACTGGGTCTTGGGTGCATTGCTGAGGGGCTCTGCTAAATAGTTGGCAGGTTCTTACATCAAACGTGCAGTGCTCATACCATGCAACACATGCCTTCCTGGACACTAATGCTAGATAGATGAGTACAAGCCACAATTGGAACTCACTCATCCATGAAAAGGGTGGGCTGTCTATTTGCATAGCAGCCTGGATAGATCGCTGGGGAATTCTGCTGAGTGACAAAAGCCAGTTTCTAAAGGTTACGTGCCGTGTACATAAAATTCTTGAGATGACCCTGATTAGTGGCTGCTAAGAGTTGGGGAGGATTGTATATAAAAGGTCAAGGCTCAGGGTCCCTGTGGTGTGGAGCTGCTCAGTAGCTCGCCTGTGGTGCATTACTTTAGCTTTCACTCCATTGTCTCCCCATTTCCTTCAGCCCTAAGCAACTGCCAGGCTACTTTGTATCTCTAAAGGCTTGCGTATTCTGGATATTGAGTATAAATGGAATAGTCAGTATGTGGTCCTTAGTATTTGGTCTCTTTCATCTCACATAAAGCTTTCAAACTCCATTGATGGTATCTGAAACGTGTCAGGCCTTCATTCTTCTTTATGGCTCCATGTTCCACTGTGTGCATGTACCACACATCGTCTGTCGTATAAGCCTGTCAATCATCAGCTGATAGACATGTTATTTCTACATTTTGACTGTAGGATCAGTGTTCTCTCCTTCCATCCCTCCCTCCCTCCCTCCCTTCTCTTCTCCCTTCCTCCCTTCTCTTCTCCCTTCCCTCCTTCCTCCCTTCCTTCTACAAGGTCTCCCATGTTGCCCAAGCTGCCCTCAAACTTGCAGTCTCTTTCTTCAGCCTCCTGAGTAGCTGGGACTATAGGTACACACTACTACACCCAGCTGAAAAGTCCACATTTTGTCACTTATTGTCTTTGTTATTAGAAACTTCTCCCTTCTCATCTTGCAACTCTGAACTTGATGGGGATGAGGAGGCTGGGACTTTTCTTTTTCCTTCCTCTGTTTTCTCCTCCTCTCCCTCCCTCTCTTTCTGTCTTTCCATCCTTCTCTTTTTCTTCCATCCTTCCTTCCTTCCTTCTCTCTCTTTTTTGATTCTTAATTCAGTAGTTTGTATGTTCTTAGGAAATGACTCATTTCACCCAGGTTGTCTAACTTGCTGGTGTACAGTTACTTATAGTTCTTAAAGAATATCATTTAGACATTACATTAGTGAGGGTTTTTTCATATGTAAATTTTCTGAATCTGCCTGTATTTGTATTTCACCCACAGTCCCCAAAAGTAATTTATTCAGATACAAAGAAGAGGTTGATTTTTCACTGACTGTTTGGCATTTAGGCATTTTATGCAACACTTCCCGATCGTGGTTGCTCTTGCTGTAGCTAGCTCCTGTTAGTCTAGGCTCCTGTACTCGGAAGGTGCTATACTGCTTTTAAACTCTTTCGTTACTTGACATTGCAGTGCAATGTGATTGGGTGTGCTGTCTTTTTACTTATCTTGCTTGGTGTGTGTTGTACTTTTTCTACTCATGGATTTATGTCTTTTGTTCTGGAAAATTGTCAAATATTTTCTCTTCTACATTGTCATATTCTCCTCTTCTGTGACTCTGATTAGGTGTATGTCAGACCTTATTTTCTGTTACATGTGTCTTGCCTGCCTGATCTTTCATCTTTTTGTGTGTGTTAATTCTGAGTATTTTTCTTTTCAGTTGTCCTTCAATTCACTAATTCTTCCCTCAGCTGTCTCTAATCTGCTGTTTCACTTGCTCATTGTTTTCCATCCCAATAGTTACATTTTTAATTTCTGAAAGTTTTGTTTGGTTGATTTTTCACATCTTTTTGCTAGTTTACTACTTTCGTCTCTCTTTAAATTCCACCTTTTGTGACTTAGTATTCTGTCTGATAACAGATAAAATAAGAACTGGGAGGTAAAATTTCATTTTGGCTGACTTGTATGCTGCCGTTTGATTGGGTTTTTGGTGCAGTATGATTGTGAGCTCACGTTTGTTTGACCTTACTCTGTAGGAATGCTTTCCTCCAGAGAGGGAATGGGCCTCTTAGACAGCTCAGCCTTTCCAGTTGCTTCCTGCTCTAGTTTTTGCTCTTTCAGGGTGAGTGATGAGAGGAGTGGGTCAGGCTGGGGATTTCCCATACTCTGTGCTGGTAGTGCCTTACAAGGAATGTTGGCAGGGATCTGGTTGTTTTGTAGGAATGTCCCTGTATTGCCTCCTCTTTAGTGTGGTCATGCTGTTGTTGTTTATAGGGTAATGAGTTTTCATTTATTACTATCAAAAAATGTTGAAATTTACAGTGTATTTTCACCCTTGTGCACATAAGCATTTCTATAAGATAGATTCTTGTATGTAAAGTTGCTGAGTTTTTGGTAGATTCTGGCACATTTTCTTTCTCAAAAGACTTTACTAATAAGGTTTCTTCTTGCAGCAATTTGAGGACACTTTCTTACGCCTTCACAAATGGTGCAGTTGATTTTTGGATGGCACGAGGCAGGGTTTCGTTTTCTTCTCATACGTAATTGTTGTGAGCACTGTATCCTGTAGTCCTACGGGTCTTTAGAGCTAGTAGAGCAAATACTTCTCCTTTCTTACAGATGGAGTTCCCACAGCCCACTCCTTTGGGTTCAGCTACTTTGCTTGAGTGGCTCACACAACCCAAGAAAATTTATTTACAATGGTACAGATGGTGAGATGCCAAGGGCAAGGTACAGGGTAAGAGGCGCACAGCTCCCGTGCCCTCTCTGGGTGTGCCACCCCTCAGGAAGCTCTTGGCACCCTGTGCATTTGGGTTCTTAGAGAGACTGCACTTATAGGCATGATTGATTACATAGGCAGTCAACTCATCCTTTAGCCCTGCCTCCCTCCCTAGGTGCTGGGGGCTGGGGCCAAAAGTCCCAATTCTCAAATCCAGCTGTGGTCTTTTTAATGACCAGCCCCCATCTTAAAGCTTCCTATGGCTGCCAGCCACCAGTGAGCTCAATAGCATCCATCAAGCACTTGTCACTGAGAGAGTCCAAGGACTTAGTTGATGGGAAGAAGACCAAGTATATAGTTCACAGTGTCACATTTCTTCTCCAAGAACGTTTGGCTTTAACAAATGCCTTGGCTACTCTTGATCTTTTGTACATTTACCCAAGCTTAGTTCACCTTGTTCATTCTACAGGGAAATGAACAGAACTGCTGGGCTGTGAGTGGTTTAGATTAAAATGGGGACAGATGCTACACAATGTCCCACAGGGAAATTTTCTGTTTAGGTGTTACTGAGTTTTTGGTCAAATAATTTTTATGACTTTCTTTAGAGGAACTTATTGTTTTAGATTTACTTGAAGCTATTTGATAGTTTTAGATGTAAATGGTATTTTTTTAAATACATCATTTTTAAGGTGTTTATTTTGGGTTATATGTTGGTATATTTTTGGTTTGAATTTTCTATTTTGACCTTGTATCTGTCAGCTTAGCTCTCCTATTACAACAGTTTAAGCTTCTTTTGGATTTTATCTTTATGTAATCATACCCCGTGAAT